TACCAACAATTCACAGTGCACCGTAATGTCGAGCCACCTAGCATGGTGGCCACATTGCAAACATGACTGATAGAATTCAGTCTGCACCGAAAATAGGACTAGACACATTACACTAGTTACTGACTAGTGTGCAATCAAAAATATCCAATACAGTCCTACAGGAGGTCAGTCGCGAGCCTGAATAGCTCAGTGGTAACGTCTCTGACTGCAGCACTGGGTGACGCGGGTTCGAATCTCACAAGGGACATCAGTTCCTTCAAGGTTGCAGATACGCCCTGCTGATGAGTGCCAACTAGCACGAAACCTAGGTCCAAGGCTTCCTGCCGATTGCCTCCAACCATCTAATACCAACAATTCACAGTGCACCGTAATGTCGAGCCACCTAGCATGGTGGCCACATTGCAAACATGACTGATAGAATTCAGTCTGCACCGAAAATAGGACTAGACACATTACACTAGTTACTGACTAGTGTGCAATCAAAAATATCCAATACAGTCCTACAGGAGGTCAGTCGCGAGCCTGAATAGCTCAGTGGTAACGTCTCTGACTGCAGCACTGGGTGACGCGGGTTCGAATCTCACAAGGGACATCAGTTCCTTCAAGGTTGCAGATACGCCCTGCTGATGAGTGCCAACTAGCACGAAACCTAGGTCCAAGGCTTCCTGCCGATTGCCTCCAACCATCTAATACCAACAATTCACAGTGCACCGTAATGTCGAGCCACCTAGCATGGTGGCCACATTGCAAACATGACTGATAGAATTCAGTCTGCACCGAAAATAGGACTAGACACATTACACTAGTTACTGACTAGTGTGCAATCAAAAATATCCAATACAGTCCTACAGGAGGTCAGTCGCGAGCCTGAATAGCTCAGTGGTAACGTCTCTGACTGCAGCACTGGGTGACGCGGGTTCGAATCTCACAAGGGACATCAGTTCCTTCAAGGTTGCAGATACGCCCTGCTGATGAGTGCCAACTAGCACGAAACCTAGGTCCAAGGCTTCCTGCCGATTGCCTCCAACCATCTAATACCAACAATTCACAGTGCACCGTAATGTCGAGCCACCTAGCATGGTGGCCACATTGCAAACATGACTGATAGAATTCAGTCTGCACCGAAAATAGGACTAGACACATTACACTAGTTACTGACTAGTGTGCAATCAAAAATATCCAATACAGTCCTACAGGAGGTCAGTCGCGAGCCTGAATAGCTCAGTGGTAACGTCTCTGACTGCAGCACTGGGTGACGCGGGTTCGAATCTCACAAGGGACATCAGTTCCTTCAAGGTTGCAGATACGCCCTGCTGATGAGTGCCAACTAGCACGAAACCTAGGTCCAAGGCTTCCTGCCGATTGCCTCCAACCATCTAATACCAACAATTCACAGTGCACCGTAATGTCGAGCCACCTAGCATGGTGGCCACATTGCAAACATGACTGATAGAATTCAGTCTGCACCGAAAATAGGACTAGACACATTACACTAGTTACTGACTAGTGTGCAATCAAAAATATCCAATACAGTCCTACAGGAGGTCAGTCGCGAGCCTGAATAGCTCAGTGGTAACGTCTCTGACTGCAGCACTGGGTGACGCGGGTTCGAATCTCACAAGGGACATCAGTTCCTTCAAGGTTGCAGATACGCCCTGCTGATGAGTGCCAACTAGCACGAAACCTAGGTCCAAGGCTTCCTGCCGATTGCCTCCAACCATCTAATACCAACAATTCACAGTGCACCGTAATGTCGAGCCACCTAGCATGGTGGCCACATTGCAAACATGACTGATAGAATTCAGTCTGCACCGAAAATAGGACTAGACACATTACACTAGTTACTGACTAGTGTGCAATCAAAAATATCCAATACAGTCCTACAGGAGGTCAGTCGCGAGCCTGAATAGCTCAGTGGTAACGTCTCTGACTGCAGCACTGGGTGACGCGGGTTCGAATCTCACAAGGGACATCAGTTCCTTCAAGGTTGCAGATACGCCCTGCTGATGAGTGCCAACTAGCACGAAACCTAGGTCCAAGGCTTCCTGCCGATTGCCTCCAACCATCTAATACCAACAATTCACAGTGCACCGTAATGTCGAGCCACCTAGCATGGTGGCCACATTGCAAACATGACTGATAGAATTCAGTCTGCACCGAAAATAGGACTAGACACATTACACTAGTTACTGACTAGTGTGCAATCAAAAATATCCAATACAGTCCTACAGGAGGTCAGTCGCGAGCCTGAATAGCTCAGTGGTAACGTCTCTGACTGCAGCACTGGGTGACGCGGGTTCGAATCTCACAAGGGACATCAGTTCCTTCAAGGTTGCAGATACGCCCTGCTGATGAGTGCCAACTAGCACGAAACCTAGGTCCAAGGCTTCCTGCCGATTGCCTCCAACCATCTAATACTAAAATAAATGTAATCAAACGATAATTTATTCAAAGATATGTGAAGAACCATGGAAAAAATTACGAAAATAATATGGAATTCTAAACCTCTGCAGTACTGCCGCATAAAGAAGGAGCGTTAGAGGACTTATGTAGGATTCTGTCTATGAAACGTGTTTGGCGTTGGGAGTATCCTAAATTTCGTGGAAGCTGTAGTTGGCAATTAGGAAGTTGAAACCACCACCTTTATGCATTCAAAGGAACAATTCGTCATCACACTAACTAAACCACCTTCCTTGGTAAACTTTTTTTTGATGATACCAGGCAGGGTAGATGTACTATTGTTATTTTGACCTTGAATATGTCCTTTTAACTTGACCTCATTCTGTTTTCTCACCTCCTATGACAAGTCCATGTGTGATCAGATTGTTCGAAATGTGTTGTGCAAATACCATTACACAATTCAGACAAATTACGCTTTCAGCCAACATGTAAAGGGTACCGCAATCAGACTAGGCCAACATGTCATCTAAAGCAATTCACAGGTATTCACACTCTCAACAAAATATTACACAATTTTATTGAAGAATTACCTTTGTTCAGACGTTTTACTAGTGAAATTTCATCCGCGGAAAACCCTCACTTTGTCTGCAAGAATAAGCTGACACGAAAACATACCGTTAACAGTCAGTCCCTTAAAACTTGTTTTACTCGGCACTGCTGTCTTCATAAGTATGTGTATTCAGAGATAAAAGTTGGAAGAATATAGTTTTAACTAGTAGATGAGAGTTAGATTGTTATTATTTAATTCCTTCACGTTCCCAGTGGCACAGCGGTAGAGTGCCCGCCGACCACGCCACATGTGGTTCGGGGTGCGATCCCCTGCCACTGCGCGCACTCCTTTACCTCGCTAAGCCAGTAATAAGACTGCTAAAGAGGGAAGGTTGGGCATGAGGCTAGCAATCCCATCCTGCAAAAATAATCACCACTGCTATCGAAACTTCAAGCCTCTAGTTTAAAGCCCTATGTTCCATTGGGAACTTAAAGGAATAAAGAAAAGTTCCCAGTAGAACATAGGGATTCAAGCTAGACAACGGAACATGTCTGGTGATCCACAAAGGAAAATTCAACGAAGGATAGATAAGAGTTAGACAAGGTTGTTTATTATCATCCATGATGATATTCCTCATTGTGGCCGACTGGATTATAAGACAGAAAATGCATCGGGAGCGAGAAAATAGGCGTACTTTGAACTGATAAGAAAACTCCAGAAGGCATTGAATTCGCGGACAATTTATGTCTAGTGTCACACAAACTCGAAGACTTGGAAACAAAAATCAACAAGTTGGCAGAAGAAGCAGGCAGCAAAGAAAAGAATTCAAGTGAACATAGAGAGAACAGAGGCGATGAAGATAACCAACCAACAGCAACAACCAACGGGAGAAACTTGAAAGAGGTCACTTCCTTCGCTTATCTAGGAAGCACCGTTTCAACTAAAGGTGGAACGGATGAAGACGTCGAAGCAACAATAGGAAAGACAAGACAGACTGTTACCACTCTGAAACCAGTTTGAAAATCTGCTGCCTCACTCAGCACAAAGAACGAAATTCGGATTGTGTTCAACATCAATGCTATGACACTCAGTCAGCTGTTACATAAGGACTGGAAACTTGCATTGTACATCTCGGAAAGCATTTCGAATAGCCTGCCGAATACTTTTATTAATAGCTACCTTCTCGGTCTACATATTGAAGATGATGTGGCTGACTGACCCCAAAGGATTAGAAACCAGGTACTCCATGGAACAACCAATCAACAACCAACTACCCAAGAAATATTGTGGAGGAAATAGAGATGGATCGGACAAGTACTGAAGAGGCTATCGACTGATATCGCGCTCCAGACCATAGCTTTACTAAAGGAAGTCATGTTGGAAGGTTATTATAGACTATGGACAATCGTAAAACCAGGTGAAGAGGACTGTAAGGAACAGAACAAAATATAGACGTGATGTTGAAGCCCCATATTCCGCTTGTAACCCAAGACAGTAAGAATAAGTCAGTAACAATAATTACTAATAATTAAATAATGGTAAGCTATATATATATATACATATATTGGATGGAGGATTTCATCATGAGCTGATATCAGTGAGAGAACCACTGGAAAACCAACTGGGAGTACTGGACAGCTGTTTCCTTCTAGTTTCTGACTCTTCAGCAGTACGTACCCGACGGCGTCCGAACCCATGACCTTCTGGTTATGGGCCTTTGAATCGGGTCCCAGTGGCTCAATGGTCTACGAGCTCGCCTTGTAACCAGAAGGCTCTGGGTTCGAACCCAGGTGGGTGCGTCCCAAACTAGCTTGACGAAACCGCTGTCCAGTACTCCCAGATGGCTTCCCAGTGGTTCTCTAGCTGATTTCAGCTCATGATGAAATCTTCCATCCAATCAAACGAAATCCCTACAAAATCAATACTTGAAAAAATAATATATATGTTTGTGGTGACTTCAGTTTCTTCAAATTAGTTCATATTCCCCCCCCCCCCTATTACTGAACACTACTCATCATTTTGTTGTTTATTTTAAAAAAATTTTTCCTAGTTAACAGATCAGAAAGAGGATTGTTCTTTCCGTGATTTAGGCGAATGGATTCATTTGTCTAAAGGTGATTTAACTAAACCTGATATCGCAGAGCTACGCTCACCAATGACATCCGTGACACAGGCAAGACTTGGATGTGAAGGGTTGATAGCTGAAAAACTCAGGCGTACAGAGAAACTTATTACTAAAATGATTGCTATATGGAAAGCACCGGTGGATAGAAAATGTGGTTGTATTACTATCAATGCAGCTGTACAAACACATCATATACACACTGAAATATACTCAGCTATTGGTAAGTTGTAGTATTTCCATTTATGAATGTTAAATGTTTTGTTTTTTTTTAATTTTAATTTGTGTCAGTGTTATTCCATGACCCTTTGCATTACTATGCTGCTGGCAATGAGCCACGCCTATTGGATGAAAGCTTTCTATACTACACGGGGTTGCCAGAACCTCAGTGCTTGAAGTGGGATTCTAACTCGTGACCGACTAGTTTCGAGTCTAGCACCTACACCAATGAGCAAAAGCTTCATAATTTAACGTGTACTGTGAATTGAATTCGTAATTTACAGATTGCACAGCCCGGGGATGAAAATTCACTACAATTTCTTAAGGAAACAGAAAAGTGGAGGGGGTGGTAACAAGCTCTCAGTTCGTCCCCATGTTAGCAGGTATCTTTCCAAAAATATAAACTAGAAAATGATCCTTTAATCAAACTCTTCCAGGGTATTCTAATTTTCATGCATTTATTCCCTTTAAAACATTTGAATAAAGCAAGAACAACAGCGGTGGTTTGTGCAGAATAAAATGGTACCACCAGTGTTTATTCCGTTGCCTTCTCATCAGCTGCTTTTAGGCTAAAGTCATTATTAAGTATATCTACAGAAACAATTTTCACATACTTGCACAGATTATAGGTTTCCAGGCCGTTTTTAAACAAAAATCAATATATAATCCTAGTGTTTAAGAAAAACAGAAAACAAGATTTTCCTAAAAGTTTCGATCTGTAAGCCACAGTTTCTTCTTCGACAGCAGAATTATTCGGATTTTATTAATCATCAAAATTCATAGTCAAAAATTTATATAAATTGAAGTCAGTTTATTTGAAGGTCACTTGTAGGTAGAAATTTGTACCGATAGAAAAATGTGTGAACAGTCATCATTATATATTTGTAATGACTAGTGTCAAGTTGTCATATGTGAGTATTTGTCTGTATGGGAGACACGTCAAAACATGACAGTATTTTTACATCGGTCACACTAGAGGATTGAATTCGCTTTTTCTCTCATCTGTTTAGCTTCACTGGAGAGAGTCTGTCATATAGGTGGAGATAAGTCTATCCCTTCTCTCCTATTATTTACTGAATTCCATGTTGTTAAAATATGCAAGGCTGGCTTCAGAGGTCAGTCTTTGTTTGTGTGTTGAATGAAAGCCTCTTCCTAGAATTTCCACATTGTCGAAATCAATCTTACGTCCACTGTCTATAGCATGCATGCATTGCTATAGCCGATCTTTTTTCTAGACGTTTTAATTCTATTTCATCATTTCTAGGTGGACGTTTCTTGCACAGCGTTTGTTCATTCACTCTGGAAGAGGCCTTCATTCATCACAGAAAGAAAGGCTGACTCCTTAAGCCAGTTCTGCACATTTTAACAGACTTATCACCTATACGGCAGACTCTCTCTAATGAAGCAAGAGAGATGAGGGAGAAATACAAAATTATTCAATCCTATATCATGACCACTGTGTAATATTATCATGTTTTGACGTGTCCCCATACAGACAGAAATACGTATCTATGACAATTTGAAGTAATACTTAACGATTCTACGGTCTGCCCAAACTACAAAAACCGGGAATTCCTCTTCGCCTAGCCTTAGACATGTCTAATTCCACCTACCATGGAGTGGCAAAGTGGCTTAGGTGAACTCCTCTAACGGGTTACATAAGATGGTAGTAAATCATAGTGTTAAAAACGTTTTTGAATTCATTGCTAACGTGGATGATATCAATGTAAATGGGAAGCAAATGCTATCTTTAGATGTCGCATCACTGTTCACCAATGTACCGTACCACTTATGGAGACTGTGGTATTCATATGCCAACAGATACTAGAAAAACAAAAATTGACATCGGAATTCCAGTTATTAGTCTGAAAGATTTGCTTTTGAAGATGTACTATGAATGTACACTTCACATTCAACAACTTTTATTAATGACAATTTGGCATCAGTCATTACAAATACGTGATGATTGCTGTTCATACTTTTCTACTGGTACAAATGTCTTCCAACAAGTGACCTTCAAAGGAACTGACTTCAATTTATGTAAAATGTTTGACAACATATTTTTTCGATTTATAAAATCCGAATAATTTTGTTGAAGAAAAGGCTGGGGCTTACACAGGGAAACGTTCAGAAAACAAATTTTGTTTTAATTGTTTGTTTTATTATTATTATTATTATTATTATTATTATAAAGGTTTTTTTTGTATTCCCCAATTCATGAAAAACAAAACGATATTGTTTTTCATTCATTGGGAAATATAAGAAAACCTTTATTATAATGAATATCACATATACCCAATGCGCAAATTGTTTTTCAAACTGTTAGAAGTGAACTTGGTTTGGACATATAGGGACGAACCAATGTCGTACTACTGAAAATAGAAAGTCACAATATAGTGTTACTCTATATCTCAATGTAGGTGAATTGCTGCGGTGTAATTACTGACTTCAAACACTAAAAAGGGTGTTGATAAAATGTCGTCTTTGAACATTTTCGTTATAAATCAGTATGGATAAACAAATAATGTGAGCTTGAGTGGAAAATTTACAATCCACACTACTGACATTTATACAACTGTCTTTAAAAGAAGTACACGCAGACATCAACTTTGTTACACTTTTTAACACATACTGTAACGGTAGAAGATGAAAGACGTGGTAAAGGGATGTTTACTTGCATTTTGGTATCTCTATTGTATAGCTAAATTATGTACACCTTATCTTCTTCAACGCACCATTTGCACAGATCTCCCGTGTTATGCTACTCCCCTGCCCTTCCTTCATATTGTGTGTTTATTCTTTGTGTTCCTTTCACGTCTCCCATGTCTCTCCACAAAACGCTGTGTCATTTCCTTCCTCTGACATCAAATCTATCCCCGTGCTATTTGGTGTTTCATGCCGGCAGATGAACATCTCTTTATACACATATACTACTGATAAGTCTTATCAGTAGCCCACGCTACAATAATACACTCCACAGAGTTCTCTTATGAACTGTCATCTTTCATTTTGTTAACCTGTTTTCATGCAGCAGGGTTGTGCCTTACATCAATGAAAGGGCGAATGAGAACATCTGTAGCTTAGAACCACACTGGTGAACATGCAGGTCTAAACACCCATGGGAGGTGGAAAATCCCAATTCCAAACCTATGGTGTGTACAACAGCTCCAGAATCCTACAGGATCGAATAGTATGTGATGAACCTGTAACCATGAGAACCTGACGCTGCTCCACTGCTATGTGGATTAAGACAAACACACTTGACTCAGTTTTTGGGCGACCAGGCAGTATGCCAGCTGTCGTACAAACTATGAGATTTCGTGTGACGTATCTCTCGCTGCTCAGAATGCACAAATCTTTGTGTTTCAATAAAAAATTTATAATAATTTTGTAATTTCCTGTATTATTGTGTTAAGTATTTTTGTCGCTAGATGTATCTCGACAAGATTTATCCCAGAACATTCTTTAACTGGTGAAGAAACAGTTACTCTTGGAGCCTAATATCCGAAAGAGCTGAGTAGCTTATGCAACACGTTGCAACTGCGCACACAGTACACGAGCATTTTCATCCCCATCTCTATTAGAACCTTGGCAAAAGTTATTCACCACAATCCTCACTCATTTATGATATTGACGTCTTTTTTAGAAAAATAGTCAGAACTGTCGACTAAGTAACACTCTTGCGGAACACAGACCAATGTAAACCATTTACTCTTCCTACTTTATGAAGGTCAAGTGACAGAAAGCAAAGGTCAAAGTTCTATTCGGAAAAGTGATATGAGGAGAAAAAAATGCCTACTAGCCATCTTCAAAAAGAATGGATATCCCCTTCACAATTTCATCAAAAAGTTTTTAAACTCGAATCATAACACCAACAATAACAAGCCAACATCAAAGACCACAAGAAAATTCATCCTACTATATATCAAAAAAATCTATGAAATAACAGCTATTTTGTTGCTTTTTTCAATATTTTTTTATCACAGCTTGATTCCACACAGTATTTTGGTACAAGTATGGAATTTTCAGCATGTGATATCGGTAGGCCAAATGTAGCAGGCCGACCATTTGATATCAGGTGTGCGTCGGCCGCGGATCGAAACCTGGACTATGTGTATGGTCAGCGAGCGTCCTAATCATCAGTTCCGAGTGAAAGATATGGCTTTAGATGTGTTAATTATCCATTTCACTCTGTTTCCTGCTATCTTTGTTTAGCTGCCCCCGACTACCCATTTACCCCTCCTTACCACCAGATCTCCTCGATGTCACTCGGGGATAGACAATTAATTCGCCGTTTACCAAAAGAGATTCTATATTGTGCCCTGCCTGACAGGTGATGCCATTCAGACGCCTCATCAGCTTATATGCTGAGCAATGAGTTCTTCGTTGAGTTTTTGTCAGAATACCTTATCGCTTATTCCTTTTTCTAGCCATCTAATCTCCAGTATGGAAACAGCCAAGGCAGCTGTCGATGGACGTCTGCAGTAGCCTGTTAGAAATAACTCCGGTATAATCAGGCCCACAGGATAGAATCTCATTTATCCTAAGAGATGTTTACTACTTTAAGTAAATTATTTCTGAATTGTTGGTTAAACCTGACTGATTTTGAGTATTTTTAAATGTAAAACCAACTTTTTTGTATGAATCTATATACTACTGAAAACCATTGCGCTTATAAGTAGTTTACTGAATCCTACAAAACAACAAAAACTTGCGATACATCGCTTGAAAATATAGTAATGCATGAAAAAGTCAACAAAATTTAGATATCCACATAGTAAAATCACCAGTAAACCATGTTCTGAGTCCATTTTATGTAACATTGTCAAATTGTTATTTTGATTTAAGGTATACGAAAAATAGGCAGGTACAGACTGTGTCGCTTGAACAAGTCATAAAAAGGGCCTCCATCATATGTACATGATGACCAGTTCATTACACTAAAATGACTGGGTGGAATGGCAATCAAGACATTTCAGAGGCATAATATTTGAGTACGGAACAGTCGGCTACAATTTATTGGCTGACGTCCCAAAATCTACAAAAGAGAATCAGTCAGATGATTTGAGCTTCTGCTCCGATGCTCCGCAGGTTACGACGTCTAGGATGGTGTATCCCTCCGGACGTCAGGCAGGCAGAAATCACACTCAGATGGATGAGTACAGAGGTTTACTCACAATAAGCCAACACAAGTTTAATGATTTTAGTTAACAGATATGATCAAACTATGTTTAGAAGATTTTTTATAAGCAGGACGAGTACACTCTTTGATGTTAACGAATGAGAAAGAAAAAGAAGAAGAAATATCAAATATTACTGAGACTCTCAAGCAAAATAACTACCCAAAGAACTTCATCAATAAAATCCACAATGACATTAAGCATGGTCGAAGAAGTATTCCGAAAACATGGACCTCAACAGTTGTCTTTCCACACAGAGCAGAGACATCAGACGATATCGGAAGAGTACTCAATAAGCAGGACGTCAGAGTTTTCTTCAAAACATCAGACACACTGCAAAGTAACCTTGTTCATATAAAAGACCAATTCTCTACCTAATTGTGTCTACAAACTAAAATGCTTGGAATGTGATGCGATATACATCAGACAAACATCGCTACAGAGAGAAATCAAAATCAGAAGAAATGAACACCCTAGAGCCGCGTCTGTTCGACCACTGAGAAATCTAGTTGGTGAAATACAAAAGCTTCAAAAATCATCGGTCATAGCTCGTCGTCTACACGCGTCACTATAGAACCTTTATTATAATGTTAATTGATAGATGGTAACTAGCAGTGGAATTCAGGATAATGCGCACTTCGTCCTATTTTTGGGACTCATCATCTGGGTGTACCTGCATTCCTCAGTGGGTGATGATGTTTTCTCCAGCGAGGCTCTAACCCAGTACCCATAGTTTCAAACGCCGAAGCGGGTTATCCACTAGACCACTTGGGCCATGAGAGCCACTGCCTCTTGTGCTGTGTGATAGGTCATATTAGTTATTCAATTGAATTTTAGATTTTCCCGTTCATTGGTTGATTGGACCGAAGTGCTCGGTCTCAGGTTGACATGTCGGCGGCTTCTTGTGCAGATGCTTTGACGATGTATGGGCATGTGATTAGAAATTAATGCATTTATAATTGTTCCTGTCTTTTTTCAACTTTTTTCTAATTATTTAATATTTTTTCTCCCTGAGTAATCACATGTTTTCTAACATTTCGGAATAATGAATTGATTCACAACATCTCCATATGGGGAATTAGTTCTTAAGTCATTAATTTCTCATGTTTTAAACTTTATTTATTTTGTTACTATCCAAACTACAGAAGTGATTCATTCTATTGAAAATTGTTTTTTCAGGTGGATTAACTAAGACACTGTGTCCCAGTTCTAAACGTCCTCCAAGTCCAGTTCTTCCAGCTTATATGATGCCTAGAAGTGCTCAGAAAAGTATTGGTGGTAGTAGTAGCGGCAGTACCTCTACAACAGAACAAACATTGAAACTATCAAATGATGCATCCATGCATTTGGATAGTATGCAACCTCAAGATTGTTGTGCCTGTGGATCAGCCACTTACAAACTCACTTTCACTGGACTATGGACTAAAAAAACTCATCCAAAAGATTGGCCTGTACACAATCCTGGAGCATTACATTGGACTAATATTATCGGTGCAAGTCATACACCAAGTTTTCAGATATATCGTATAGGTGAACCAGCCAGTGCTGGAGTACAAGCTGTTTGTACCTATGGTGATACAACTGTAATCAAGCAATCTCTTGGTATTGCTGCTACTAATACCGGCTCGTTGGGTGGTGTCCCTTCAGGAACACAAAGAGGATCGACTGGTGTTGGCCCATTACTTAGTTTTGTTTCTGCCCCAGGGATGTGGGGTGAAGAAACACTTGAAGAGACACGGACAACATATGTTGCAGTGAATAGAACACATCCGTTGATTTCATTTTTAACAATGCTTGGTCCAAGCCCAAATTGGTGTTCAGGTATTTCAGGTCAGTCAGTATGTCAAGCAGATTGTACTTGGGTGAAAAAAATTGAAATTGATTTATTCCCATGGGATGCTGGTGTTCGTAATGGAGATACATATCTGCCTAAAAATGCTGACAGTAAGGTGAGTGATTCTGTAATATGTTCATATATAGGGTTTTTAAGCTATTCTAATTAATTGTTTAATAGATTTCAGTGTCATATAAAAGAAAAGGCATTCAGTAAAGAGTTACTCCTCTTTTCGGTGATATCATTTTCAAGCTGTACAATCGCATATATATATATATATATGTATATATGAGCGCTAGTGATTTGTTACAGGACGGAGTTTCCTGCAGTTCTAGTGAGAAGTCATGACCAGTGAGGTCAATCCAGTCAAGTGTGAGGATAGATGTCCCACCGATGACATTGGTTGGTGCCAGTCGCGCTAAATCATGAATTGGTAGGAGTTAGGATTCATTGGCCATTGAAATGGGTCCCAGTGGCTGAGTGGTATATGAAATTGCCTTGTAACTGGAAGGTCCTGGGTTCGAACCCTGACAGTGGGTGTGTACTGCCGATGATTCCCTAACTAGGATGAAACAGCTGTCCAGTACTCCCAGGTTTTCTAATGGGTCTCTAACTGATGTCAGCTCATGATGAAATCCTCCATGCAATTAAACAAAATCCCTACCAAACCAGTACTTGAAAATTAATCTGATGCTCACTAGTGACTGGCCCTATTCAGGCAGTTCTAGTGGGAAGCCGTGACCAGTAGGGTACAGCAGGTTGAAGATGAAGCAGTAACTCATCTAAGAAGACATTGCGAAATGGTCGCGCTATGTCGTGAATTGGCAGGAGTTAGAATTCGAGGACCATTGGATCGGGTCCCAGTGGCTCAATGGTCTACGAGCTCGCCTTGTAATCAGAAAGTCCTGGGTTCGAACCCTATCGATGGGTGCGCACTGCTGAAGAGTCCCAAACTAGGACGAAATAGCTGTCCAGTACTCCCAGGTTTTCCAGTGGTTCTCTAACTGATATCAGCTCATGATGAAATCCTCCATGCAATTAAACAAAATCCCTACCAAACCAATACTTGAAAAAAAAATATATATATATATATATAAGTTCACCTGCAGCCGCGGTGACACCTATATAGGTAGAACCAATAGAATGTTCCAATGTCATGGTCGAAAAGAACATGTTCCGAAATGGCTGCTAAATCATATAGAAAATCCCACTGCGAGTAATCTGAATAGAAATCCAGCATCATCTATTGCAAAACACTTATTACTGTCAGGTCACAAAATCAATATTAATGACTGTTTCACAATTATTTCACATAACTCTAATTCAAGGTTATTGAAGGTGATAGAAGCACTCTAGGGGATTAATCACATATAGCCTAAACTGTGTGTACAAAAAACAATAGACTTCAATCTTCGCCAATCATGGACTACATGACCTATTTAAATATAATTGGTCATTAGTATGTACTATTGTTTTTTAGTTAACTGAGTAATTGTCATGATCTTTATTTTATTATTGTTAACCATGTTAGTTGTAAAGTGGTTGTAAAGAATAAACAACAATATTTGAAGACATCAAATTCACGAGAGAAGAAGAATTAGATAACAAAATCCCATTTTTAGATGTCTTAGTCAGGAGAACCAACACAGGAGATTTAGAGACACAAGTATATATAGAAAATAAACGCACACAGATCAAATACTCAACTATACTAGCAATAATCCAGTTACTCACAAACGAAACTGTGTGCAGACATTGTTTAAAAGAGTTCAGACACATTGTTGCACTCCAGAGCTGAAAAGAATGGAAGAAAAGTACCTACAAACGGTCTTCAAAAAGAATGGTTATCCACAAAATTTCATCAAAAAGTGTTTAAAGTCGAATCAAAACACCAACAAGAAACCATCATCACAGACCACAAGAAAATTCATTCTACCATACATGAGGAATATCTCTGAAATAACAGTTAGAATAATGAAACCGTTAGATATAGATATAGCACACAAACCAGTCAAATCGCTTAATTCGATATTACGCAAACCGAAAGATCCAACAGAAAAAGGGGATAAAATTATTACCATCTACAAAATAAATTGTATGAACTGTAACAAGGATTGCATCGGCCAAAGTGGGCGTCCCCTTCGAATCAGAATCCAAGAACATAAATCAGCCGTGAAAAGACATGATATGTATTCGTTAGTATCAATGCATGCAGACAACTATGGTCATCAGTTCGATTGGGATCATGTCAAAATCTTAAACAGAGGAAACACGAAAAGTGCCAGAGAATTCCTAGAAGCCTGGTACTCAAGCGAAAATGCGATTAACAAACACGTTAATTTAGATGAAATATACCAATTAATAAAAAGTAAATCAGGTGACCAAAAAGTTTAAAATCCTAGTCAATAGAAAGTGGTCAATACATATGTGAAGATAGTAACCAGGAGACGCAATTACATCACGCATGAAGAAATTTAAATCATTTCACTTTGTGCTAAATATGGCGCTGAAGATGCTGTCCGGAAGGACGACGAAAGCTTCGCGACTAAACCAACCAGCTCAGAGAACACTTTTAATTGCAAATCATCCACCTGAGCTACAAATCTTCTCTATTATTCATTTTGTTGCTAGTAAAATTATGCGATTGTACAACTCGAGAATGATATCACCGAAAAGCTGATTAACTCTTCACCGACCACTTTTTTCTTTTATATAACTCAATGGGGATTTTCAAGTTTCCAATGTGTTGACCGCCTCATTTAAGTGGGAAGTTGTATCAACCCTAAAAGACTGACTATTGAAGAAATTTGAACAAAGCAAGAACAACAATTGTACCAGGATAATATGAGCTCATTTTTTATTATTTCGAGGATTCTTCTCAACTGGTTACAACCTGAACGATGAAAAATGTGAATTACATTACATTAAAGATTTGGACATAATTTTCCACGATCACAAGGAGTAATTGGTAGGAAGTAAAAGTAGCATTAGTCCGGAATGATTTAACTAATTAAGAGTTACAAACACTGACTATTTATAGAACAATTCAAATGAACTGTGATCAATATTTGACAGTTTATAAATATTAATAGAATAATTAGGCAATTAGGCTTGGAAACAAAAACAAGCTGTTGTATATATATATATATATATTTTTTTTTCTTGTCACCAAGGCAGTGCAAGATTCACCACTGTCTCTTTCTGCGTACATAGATTTGGTTTCAGTCGTCTGATGGCAATTGCTTCAGCAAAGCGTAGCAAGTTAGGTTTCTTTTGCTTGTTGATTATTTTGAATGACTTCAATTTGTCTACATTATGACCAGTGTCTAATAGATGACGCGCAATTGCACTGTTTAATACTTGTGGACCTTTCAGTCTCAGGTTCTTTGGTATGTGTTCAGAAATGCGGACAATAACCCTTCTCTCTGTTCTTCCGATGTAGGTGCTTTGGCACGTACATGTAAATTGGTAGACACAGTTGGAGGTAACATGAGGTGGGTATTTGTCCACTTTTGATTGTCTCAAACAACTAGTTGTTTGATAAACACATACAAGCTTGGCGGCTGGATATGTTCTTTTCAGGGCAGCGTTCAGTCTGCATCTTATTCTACTGGCAATATCATCACCTTTGAATGCAAGCTGCAGAAAGATAGGCTTTTTCTCTACTGTGCTGATTTTCACTTTTTCAACATGACGTCTCCCATACTTGTCAATGAACTTTTGTGGGTAACCGTTGTCGCGTAGGCATTTCTCCACAATGGATAGCTCTTCCTCAATCTTTTCTTCTGAACACAGCTTCCTTACACGATCAAATAATGTTCTCACCAATCCTTTTTTGTAACTTATAGGGCAGAAACTTTTGAAGTTAAGATAAACCGCCCTCCAGGTCTCCTTTCTGTGTATATATCTTATGATTTTGCCGTCTATATCTCGTTGGATACCTAGGTCAAGAAAATGGAACTTCTCCTCTTTTTCATGCTCCATTGTAAACTTGATATTTGGATGGGCGCTGTTCAAGACTTCTAGTACTTGAGATGCATCATCAAAAGAATTACAAATAACAAAAGTGTCGTCGACATACCTGGTATAAAAATCGGTCTGACTGATTGCGGATTTCAGCCTTGTTTGTTCCAGACTACCCATAAAAATTGTTTGAGACAATCAAAAGTGGACAAATACCCACCTCATGTTACCTCCAACTGTGTCTACCAATTTACATGTACGTGCCAAAGCACCTACATTGGAAGAACAGAGAGAAGGGTTATTGTCCGCATTTCTGAACACATACCAAAGAACCTGAGACTGAAAGGTCCACAAGTATTAAACAGTGCAATTGCGCGTCATCTATTAGACACTGGTCATAATGTAGACAAATTGAAGTCATTCAAAATAATCAACAAGCAAAAGAAACCTAACTTGCTACGCTTTGCTGAAGCAATTGCCATCAGACGACTGAAACCAAATCTATGTACGCAGAAAGAGACAGTGGTGAATCTTGCACTGCCTTGGTGACAAGAAAAAAATATATATATATATATATACAACAGCTTGTTTTTGTTTCCAAGCCTAATTGCCTAATTATTCTATTAATATTTATAAACTGTCAAATATTGATCACAGTTCATTTGAATTGTTCTATAAATAGTCAGTGTTTGTAACTCTTAATTAGTTAAATCATTCCGGACTAATGCTACTTTTACTTCCTACCAATTACTCCTTGTGATCGTGGAAAATTATGTCCAAATCTTTAATGTAATGTAATTCACATTTTTCATCGTTCAGGTTGTAACCAGTTGAGAAGAATCCTCGAAATAATAAAAAATGAGCTCATATTATCCTGGTACAATTGTTGTTCTTGCTTTGTTCAAGTTTATTAATGGGAAGAATTGCATGAAGTTATTGAAGAAATCTTGGCGTGGATAAAAAACCCTTGTGTGACATTTCTGTCAAATGATGTCAATGATGACACAAATGTGAAAACTGGCTATCGATCAGAGGAGGCATGTACCGCGCAACAATTCCTTCTGCACCACTGAAAGTGGAAGATATGAAGAGGTACCGACAATGTTGACTGACATTGACTATAGATGCATGCGTTCTGTCTACCGTGGTCAGTGATACTGAGTTGTTGTTAAGATAAAACAATTGAGATGGCTGCATCTAAAAATTTGGTGTAGACCAGTATTTTCCAGTACTGCTCAGATGCAACAGTGATTGGATAGGAATAAATTTATTTCCTGTGGATGTATTATGAATGTGAAAAAGCTTCAGGAGATCGGCGGATGGACATGTTTACTGTTGTGAAATTTGGTTGAGACGAGTTAGTGTGAAGGGATGTTTAGCCGGTGGTTAATACTATTTCTTAGAAACATTTTTTCGCTAGATGCCTTATGTTATCAACCCAGATCTATAATATACACAGATGAATGGGACGCGTACATAAGTAATCGTCATTCCTGAGATTTAACTCCATTATGGATAAGATTTTATTTTGATAAGGTATCACACAGCGTTGTTGTACAGTAACATTAGCTGATCATCTCGTTTCGAGCACAAATTATTGCCACTCATAATCATATCAAGACACTACTCACACAACATGTGTGGAATTGACTAGATATTTGAGTAAAGATCAATATAGGATAATGTACATTCAGAAATAATAACAATATGAGTGTTATCAATCAAATACAATCAAATGGGAAATAAACCTAAAAGACCCGCCGGACCCAATCAAACAAAATAATATAATTTACAAAATACCTTGCAATGACTGTGAATGAGGTCAAGTACACAGGTCAAACTAGTAGGTTGGGGTAATCAGATTGTCGGAACATAAGAATTTAGTAGCTAAGGTAAGAATGGTTGACCCCACCCGAGAAGATAAGTAATTTAGAAAAAAGCTCAGCACTGCATTGCACTACATGCATTAACACACAACCAAACAATAGGGTGTGAAAGGGTTACGGTTCTAAGAAGTAATCTATGTAGGTGGAGGGTGAGAGAGATTGATTACTGAATCCTACCTGGTTCATCAAGTCTACACACCCAACACATACAACAGAAACAACTCAACGCAAATACCAGAGATATGCATGGAAGATATTATTACCACCAGTCAGTCGAATCAGAGGAGGATAATAAATAATTTCAAAATTCTATTTCAATTCAAGCACATCACAATATTCTAAAAAGTTACTTATTTATTTTGACTATAGAAACACTTGTCTTATTTCCCATCTGATTGTATTTTATTGATAACACTCGTATTATTATTATTTCTGAATGTACATTATCTCATATTGATTTTTATTCAATGAAATGTCTAATCATCAATTCTACTCATGTATATAAATGAAGGAAAAAAGTTGTGTGAGTAGTGTCTTGATATGATTATGAGTGGCAATAATTTGTGCTCGGAACATGGTCATCAGTTAATATTACTGTACAACAACACTGTGTAACACTTTATCAAAATAAAATCTTATCCATAATTGAGTTATACTCTACCACAGTGCTCAAGTTTTATACTTATATTCCTTAGATTTATTCACCATAGAGGAAAGAACATTAGTTATTTTGTGGATTCCATTACAAGGACCCAAATTATTTATACTAAGGGATTTTGGGGAAGATTGAAGAAGAGGATTAGAACCATTAACGGATCTCGAAAGAAGTTCATTTACAGTTATTTTGATAAATATACGCATAGAATATGGTTGACCATCCCTGTTGATACTCCTATAGAAATCTGGGAGTCATTTTTATCACATGTAATAGAAAGGCATCCGGTGTAACATTTTAATACCTTTCTATAAACTTTAAAATACCCTCTTCCATGTGATTGGTGCGTTCAAGGTCACTAGCTGATTGGTAGTTACTTGTGCTTAAAGTTAAACTGATGAACTCATAGTTACAAGTGCTTGTTAACCTTACTAACCATTAAAACTTTGTAAACATACACATATTTCTCATATTTTATTGTTTTTTTCCAGGATGTTCCAGAGCCTATACGTTTTATCACTAAAGATTGGATGCCAAATAATCCATTCAGTGAAGGTGTCCCTGTTGCACGTGTAGTACTTGAACGTGTATTACCAACTGAATCATGGCAGTGTACATCAAAGTTACACGATGGAGTTGAAGTTTTTAATTCAGATGGGAGTACAGAAACTGTAGGCATGAAATCTAACACGTCAGATAATAGACATTCACCTATGGTTCAATCGGTTATTGGAGATTTAACTGGAACATTACCAAAAAAGTCTAGAAATAAGGGAGGAACTACTGGAGGTGGAGGTGGTGGTGCTGGCGGAGGACAAGGCGGAACAAGAATAACTAGTGGAGGACTTGGTGGAGATAACCCACTGTCAGATCCAAGTTTAGCACAAATGGCAACATTTCTATGTATTACTGATACATGGTCAGCATGGGGACCTTGTTCAGTGACTTGTGGTGTTGGTCGTCGAACTAGACAACGTGCTATGCTGATCAATAAAAAGACGGAGCTTTGTCAACATGTTCCACTGATAGAAGAGGAAGTAAGTCATATGCAACAAGTTTAATTTTGTAATTTTGTAATTGACATGTAGGTTTCTGGTAACGGTGGCTTTGATGATGTCTGATGTTATTTGGTGAATGCTGACTAGCGGGGGAATCGAGGATGAGCATTTCATTCTGTCCGGGACTCGTCATCTGGATGTACCCGTGTTCCCAGTGACTGATTGTGTTCCTACTGGGACTCGAACCCAGCACCTATCGTTTCAAACGCCAAAGCTTTATCCATGAGACTACTTGGGCCACTTGAGATGAAATGCTTATCTCACTGCTATTCCGCATCCACCGAATCTTCAATCCTAATCATAAGATTTTGCTTTTTGTTGTCTAGATTATTCAGTATTCAACGAAATACATCGTTTGAATAACTGAAAACTGTATCTGCCTAAATGCTGATGCTCATGAAATGTTGCTGTGTATGTCCGCTGCTGAAGGATCTTTTAGTCAAACTGGCAACATGGTTTAAGCGACAACATTTTCATCTCAAATATTTATGTTACGCCTGGCTGTGCTGTCTCGGATCTATCTGATTTTGCCGGTGAATTCACTAGCAGACATTGCTGGCTTCCTGCCTACCTAGATAAGTGAAGGCAGGAAGTAACCTCTGTCATATCTCTCCCTCCTGTTGATGGTGATTGGTGCTAGTTGTTGTTGTTGCTGTTGGCGGTGATGGTTAGGTGGTTGGTTGGTTATCTTCATCACCTCCGTCTCCACCTTCTCTATGTTCACCTGGAGTCAGTCCTATCTTCGCTGACTGCCTTCCCCCCTCTTCAGCCAGTTTGTTGGTTTTCGCCAGCCTGCCTGCAAGTTTTCGAGTTTGTGTGTGTGTGAAATCAAACATAAATTATCCACACGCGAAATCCAGATCTTCTGGAGTCTTCTTATCGGTCAGTTCAGCGTACTCCTGTCTTCTCACTCAATCTCTGTGCACAGTGTTCCGCGTAATCCACTCCACTACAATGAGGAATATCGTAGTGGGTGATAACAGGCAGGCAGTCTTACTCCTGTATTCACTTCAAAGCCAGTCTTCCCTGAGTTTTCGGTTGTGGATCATGTGACACGTGGCAGGCATTATCATATATCCGTACACCCCTAATATCACAGTAACAATAATTTGTTCAATAATAACACTTTCATTGTTATTTCTGTACATGCTAAAGAAATACTTTTTGTTCTTCCCTTCCGCAATCCCTCCGCCGCCCACCTAAACAGTCATGTGATGGTCGAAAGCGTACCTGTGATTTTAGTGCCCCATGCAGTTTATTACCCTGGACCGCCTGGACACCATGCAATGCAACCTGCGATCATCCAAACGGTCGACAAACACGTACACGGTATTTAGCTCGACCAGCAGAGAAACACGATTGCGCTCATTTATTCAGAACTGAAACAGAGGTGAACAAAGGTATGCTACAAGAGATAAGAGACTGCCAACCAAAAGATACTGACTGTGATCCAGCGACAATTTGTGCCGAGGGCAGAAAAGATGGTTTGGTATGCGGGGAAAAAGTTCTAGCCTATTATTACAGCGCTGTTGAACACGCTTGCCTACCGTTTAAATATTTAGGCTGTAAAGGTGGACGAAATCGATTTGCAACTAAAGCAGCTTGTGAACAGCTTTGTATACCAGCTGTAGAAGCATTGCCGAAGTGGCGACGGGAACGTATGGCTTTACTACAGTATCAAACAGCACAACTTGCTATGGATAGTGATGATTTTAAAAAACAACAACAGCAACTTGCACCAGCTAATCATTGTTCTGAAGTAATGAATCCTGGTTACACATGTGCTAATGGTAAATCGCCGGAAAATAGATGGTAAATTACTTTTTATTCTTGTGTATAATTCAGTCTACTTTAATGCTTTTTTCAGTAGTCACTATATTTATTTTGCAATTTATTGTTCTCTTGTAAATGCTATTACCACCTAACTCCTAAGTTGTGATAGAAATATCATTGAAAACTACAGTGGAGTACGGGATAGCCAGCTGTTTCGTCGGCCTAGTTTCGATTAGAATGAAACATCTGTCCAGTACTCCAATGCCGCTTTTCCAGTGGTTCTCTAACTGATGTCAGCTCATGACGAAATCCTTTAACTTATTTGAATTCATCGATAACACATATCTACCAAACATGTAATTGAATAGTACGTTAATATACCGTACCCTCTTTACACCAATAGATAACAGAATTTTCTGCAAACAGTTTGTACGTCTTAGTTGGAGAATATCCACTGATTATTATTATTGATCCCTTGGGTTCCTAGTGGAACATAGGGCTTCAACTGTACGTATCCACTTGCTTCTGTCTTCTGCTGTACTTTTCACCTGCATCCATGTTAGTCCATACTGTTTCAACTCCTCCTCGCACGATCTCCTCCATGTCACCCTTGGACATCCCACTACTTGCCGCTTCTCTTTCGGGTTCCACTCGAGCACTGGCCTGACGCGCGATGTCACCCAGCGGCCTCCTCAGTGAGTGTCCAATTCATCTCCACTCTCTCCTGCATATTTGTTGGGCGATTGGTTCTTGTTTTGTTTGCTCCCTTAGTTTCTTGTTGGTGATTCTTTCCGGCCATCTGATCTTCACTATAGAGCGAAGACAGTTGTTGATGAAGGTCTGCAACAGGCTGTTGGAAACATTCTTTGTGATCCGCCAAGTTTCTGATCCATCCGTATAGAAGAACTGACTGACTTGACGTTTGTATTGAAAATCCGAAGTTTGTTGTTGATGCAGGCTGAGTGACGAATATTTCCAGGTTGGTTTCAGGTAGATGAATGTGTTTCTCGCCTTCCCGATTCTCGATTTGACATCCTCGTCCGTTCCTCCTGTAGAGTAGTTGAGACAATGCTCCCTAGATAAGTGAACGAAGTAACCTCTTTCAAATCCCTCCCGTTGATGGTGATTGGCGCTGGATGTTGTTGCTGTTGTTGTTGTTGGTTGTTTATTTTCATAACCTCCGTCTTGTCTATGTTCACTTGGAGTCCTGTCTTTGCTGCATCTTCGACCAGCTTGTCGGTTATCGCTTGTAAGTCTTCGATTTTGTGTGACGTCAAACATAGATCATCCGCGAAATCCAGGTCTTCTAGGTTCTTCACGTCGGTCCAGGATATCCCTGTCTTCTCGTTTCCCACTGTCTGACGCATAATCCAGTCCACCACAATTAGGAATATCATTAGTGATAAATATACACTGAAGTTTCTTAAAATATATTTCTTGGAGGTGTCCTAGTTAAACTTCTTAATGAATGTATGAACAAATGGTTCCCTTTATGAATTTAGACAAAGGAATAAGAAGACGTAATTTATCGCAATCGTGTAAAGGGATTTGCCTAACACATTTCGAACAATCTGATAATATATGGACATGTCATGGGAATATGTATTCATGTGAAATTAATAAAGAGGTAAGTGATGGGAAATAGAAATAGACAAATTGCGTTAAGTTAAAAGGACATAGTGAAGGGGAAAATAACAATGAAGATCATCACCAATCCAAATAACAGAGGTAAAAGTGCATCTACCCTGCCCGGTATCATCAAAACGAAGTTTAGCAAGGAAGGTGGTTTGGTTAGTGTGATGATGAATTGTTGCTTTGAACGCATTAAGGTGATTTCAACATCCTAATTTCCAACTACGGCTCCCACAAAATTAAGGATACGCCCTACCCCAAACACGTTCTATAGATAGGTTCAAAAGATGTGTGGAAACATCAATTTTATGTCCTGTTTCCTCTATAATACGTTTCGCGAAAGAGGAGGTAGGTCGTCGTCTGTTGTAAGCACTGATGGTTCTGGAGATTATATTTTCTGCCTTTGAAGCTATTTAGGAATATGCGCTGAAGTCAACCCTTACTTGTTGAGATCTATGAGTTCTCCCTTCTATGTATGCGTGACCACATGTACATTCAAATTGGCAGATACAGTGGAATGTGATATCATTTTTCGTTTGTTCTAAGGGTTTAGATGGATATATCGGCTTCACAGTGAAGTTCAGAATAGCATATCAATTACATCTGTAGAAGAGGAAGATAACTGTTTATCTTTCTCAGATATATCGCCTGGCTGACGGCCTGATGTATGAATAAGACGATCTATTTATAGAAAACCTACCTAGGAACCGAGGAATACAGACTCTTGAACAGTGTTTGCTTGACAGATCTAAAAACCGTCCAGTATTTCGCACGATTTTTTGATTATAATTTATAGTATCATGTATAAATACTTTGGATTTTAAAAGGAATGCTCAACTTGGACGAATATGATTCTAGATATCAGCATTTTTGTGTCCTTTAACTTGTATTCATATGATAGAAGCATTTATTCTTTGTTTTCCGTTTCATTTGAACTGTTTCTGAAGATAACTTGTACACTAGGACTTTGTTTGGTAATGTTGATAAGATGGTAGGGGATCAGATGTCGATGGGAAAGGTTACACTATCTGGGAAACCGCTAATCTAACAGAATGTTATACTATTCCATTCGCAGATAACCTACTTCTTTTTTTCCTTAAGAGCTGGAAAAATGAATAAGGTGTTTAGAATGTTACTGACAAGTTTACCTATGAAAGTTTGAAATCATGAGGCAACTAACTTAATCCAAAAGTTTTTAAACCAGGAGGCATAATTATTTTTCGATAATAATAATAAGGAAAAGTATTGAATTAGTTGAGTACACTGTCTGAGCTGGTTGATGGTTTATAATTGCGAAGCTTTCATCCTCCCGCTTTTCTAGACAACATCCCTTCAGGTTAGGTTTTAGTATACAAATGAACTCATTGAAATTCTGCATGAATGATGATGTAATTGTATCTCCTGGCAACCATTGTCGTGATTTGTTGTTTGTTGATTTACGTCTCTGTTGATCATTTTGATAATTGACTTGGAATTCGAACTTCCTTGTCATGTGAGATGATTTACTTTTTATTAGTTGGTAAGTTCGGTCTATAGTAATTCGTGTGTTTGTTAATCCATCGCCGGCTGATTCACTTGAGTACCAACCAGGCTGATAGAAATTCCCTGACTGCATTACTCTAAATGTTTCCTATACTGAGAATTTATACAGTATCCCTATCAACTTCGTTTCCATGATTATCTACACGCATTCATGTGAAAGAATATTATTATTGTTTCCTTTAATTCCTAGAGGAACATAGGGCTTCAGCCGTGCGTTCCATTGCGTTCGGTTCTCTGCTAGAATCTTCATCTGGCTCCAAGTCTGCCCACACGCTTTCATCTCCTCTTCACATGACCTCCTCCAAGTCTTCCTTTCGGGTTCCACTTGAGCTATGGCTTGTCTAGTGATGTCACTTGATAGTTTCCTCAGAGTATGGCCAGCCAATCCATCTCCATTTCTTCCTGCCTATTTGCTCCACAATCGATACCTGGTTGGTTCGCTCCCAGAGATCTCTGTTGCTGATCTTTTCTGGTCATCTGATCTTGAGTATTGAGCGAAGACAACTGTTAATGAAGGTCTGTAGTTTGTTTGAGTTGCTCTTTATGACGTGCAGTGCAAGTCTCTGATCCGTATAGTAGCACTGACTTCACATTAGAGTTGAAAATCCGGATCTTATTTTTGATGCTGAGTGTTGTTGACCTCCACACAGACTTGAGAGTAGTGAAAGCTTGCCTTGCTTTTCCGATTCTTGCTTTGATATCCTCGTCAGTTCCGTCCGCCTGTAGTGGAAACGATGCTTCCCAGGTAGGTGGGTGAAGGAGGTTGTTTCTTTCAGGTTCCTCCCATTTATGCCGATCGTTGTCTGTTGTTGTTGTTCTTGTCTAGGAATCTTCACCACCTCTGTTTTCTCTATGTTCACCTGAAGTCCTATCTTTGATGCTTCTTCTGCCAACTTGTTGCTTTTCGCTTGCATATCTTCCAGTTTGTGGGAAATCAGCCATGTATCATCGGCGAAGTCAAGATCCTCCAAGTTTTTTGTGTGAGTCCATTTTATGCCTGTTTTCTCATTGACCGCAGTTTGTCGCATTATCTAGTCTACTGCAATCAGGAAAATCATTGGCGATAGTAGGCAGCCTTGTCTTACTCCTGTCCTCACTTCGAAGGATTCTGTAAGTTTCCCGTTGTGGATTACTTGGCATGCAGCATTGTCGTACAGCTGTTGGATGAGATGTATAATTGTCGGTGGCACCCCATAGTAGCGTAGTAGTTTCCAAATCACCTCTCGATCGACGCTGTCTGTTGAAGGCCTTTTCAAAGTCCATGAAGTTGAGATAGAGAGGTGACTGCCACTCCAAGCTTTGTTCAATGACGATCCGTAGTGTGGTGATTTGATCAATACATGACTTGTTTCTCCTGAATCCAGCCTGTTCTGGTCTAGGGCTTGTTTGATTCTCTCCAAGATGATGCGGCTTAGTATTTTGCTTGAGATGGACAGGAGCATTATTCCGCGCCAGTTCTTGCACTGACTTAAGTCTCCTTCTTTGGTAGTTTGAATAAGTATCCTTTCTTCCAATCCTCTGGTACTTTGCCTTCTTTCCCTACCTTCTCCAGTAGTGGCATCATCAGCCAATCTATGTTATTGGATTCGCATTCTACGGGGAAGGCCACTTTCACCGATGTAATGTTTATTGCAGTTCATACATGCAATTTATGCAGTAAATGGTATTAATAATTGCATCTTTTTGTGTATTGCGAATGTGAATATTCTTTTCAGGATTTCATCATGAAGTGACATCGGTTAGAGAACCATTTGAAAACTTTGGGTGTGAGGACAGATACTCGCCAGCGATGACATTGGTGACTAGTGCCAGTCGTTCTATATCGTGCGTCAATTGGCAGAAGCTAGAATTCATGAACTAGTCGTTAGATCGGGTCCCAGTGGCCTTGTAACCCAAAGGTCCTGAGTCCGAATGCGGACAGTGGGGTGGGTGCGTACTGCTGAAGAGTCAGTTCCAAACTAGGCTGGCGAAACAGCTGGCTGTCCATTACTAGAATGATGGTCTTCCGACGGTTCTCTAACTGACATCAATTCATGACGATATCAAGAAACTAATTCAATCCCTGGAAAACCAAAAGTAGAATATTCTTCATCTATTAAACTTTCGAACAATCGAATTGACATTTAATGAATCATCACTTCATATCCTTTTTTGTTTAGGTATTTTTCTACACGTCTTAGAAGATGTCGTGATTTTGAATATCGCGGTTGTGGTGGTAACAAAAACAATTTTGAAACTTATCAAGCCTGTTTAGCCGATTGTCTCCCTTTAGAAATGGAAAAATTACGTCAAATCAATAAAGCACGTTTAGCTAGCGCACGAAGATTTACAAATAATACAATCATGAAGCCAGATGACGATGATGTCTCTTCCACTGCGTCTGCGTCCATGTCTAAAGATGACACTGACACCGACGACAATGATGACAGTCTGAGTAAAATGGAACGTCAAAAAATCGATGATATGTGGGGTCCAAAACAAGACTGTATACTGACTGCTTGGAGTGGTTGGAGTCCATGTTCAGTGGCTTGCTCGTATGAAGCAGGTTCACAAATGCGATGGAGACATGTTGAAAAACCTGCAATGCATGGTGGTAAATCGTGTGGAATGCTTTTTGAGAAACGTGAATGCCATGGAAGTTTATGTTGACAGGGTATTTTGTTTTGAGGAATAAACAAAATATTGTAAATTTATTCTCTATCATCTTAAGACAAATAATCAATACTACTCACTTAGTGAATAATCAGAAAATGGACTGATCATTATTCATCCGGAGATGAGTATTTAATTACTTTATTGATTCAAATATTTAATTGTTATCATCAAAATTTTCCTTTGCTTCTGCTTTTATCCTATATTGTACTGTACTGTCGTCTAATAAGCGGATGCTTTAAAAAAATTTTAATCGATTTGTGTACTATCCATGCATAATTTAATTAATTAATTAATTAATAAGTATTTGTATTTATTTTATATATTTCAAATATTGGGGTACTTTGAATAGCCTTCAGCTTTTAAGTTTTATTTAAGACTGTAGAAAAGAAAAGGCGTTCAGTAAAGAGTTACTCTTTTCGGCGATATCATTCTGAAGCTGTAAAAACCGCAAATTTATAGTAATTTTTTCTTGGCAACAAAACGAATATTTCCAAAGATGTGTTAATGCAATTGTTAATTGTTTGACAACAAAATACGTAATTTAGAAGGCGTTTATCAGTTAGAAACTAAAATAAAGTTACAAAAGTAGGTTGGGTGACGTAATCTAATCTCCTTTAGAAAGGAGAAAGAAGATCCCCCCGCCACAGCTCTATCCTAGAACACTTGATCGAATCCGGACACGAAGCAAACCCACAAAACAACTTCTCAGTTATCTACACAATACGTGGGAATCTTGCCAAAAGAGTACGAATTAAACTTCTTCAAACTGCAGAAGCAATAGAAATTCACATATTGAATCCTGAACTCTGCATACAAAAGAAGTTTATTCAGTCAGTAAATCTACAATGGTACTGATCTATCTTAACACCAAATACGTAATTTTGTCTTACCTCTTTCTTCTTTGTTTGTCTGTTTCCTAATTGCATTATTTTCTACCCCCACCCTCTATTAAATCTCTACCCTCATGACGACTGTTGCTAACTCCATTTTCGTTTATTTTCAAGTGAATTCTACTCAGATTATTAACTTGACTCTCATTCATTTTTCATTGAACCCTATCAACTAGATTACGTCACCCAACCTACTTTTGTAACTTTATTTTAGTTTCTAACCGATTAACGCCTTCTAAATTACGTAATTTGTTGTCAAAAAATTAACAATTGCATTAACACATCTTTGGAAATATTCCTTTTGTTGCCAAGAAAAAATTACTATAAATTTGCGGTTTGTACGGCTTGAGAATGATATCGCCGAAAAGAGTAACTCTTTGCTGAACGCCTTTTCTTTTCTATGACTGAATGGGAATTTTCAAATTGCTAAGACTTTAGAATCAAAAAAGGTGTGCTACATATTGGCTTCCAATAAGAAGACTGTAGAAGATCTGGATTTCTTGTGTAGATGACACAAACTCGAAGACTTACAGGAAGGCAGGCAGGAGAAAACCAACAGACTGGCTGAAGAAGCTGGCAGGCAGGCAGAGAAGACACGACTGACTCCAGGTGAACATAGAGAAGGTGGAGACGGAAGTGATAAAGATAACCAACCAGCCACCACTAACTGCAACAGAAACAACAACAATCAGCAACAGTCATTATCAACGGGAGGGAGAGATTTGACAGAGGTCACTTCCTGCATTCACTTATCTAGTCAACTAGGAAGCCAGCAGGGTTTTAACCACAGGTAGTCGAAGCGGACGAAGATGTCAAAGCTGGCCAGCCAACCAGACAGAATCAGAAATGCAAAATGCACCTTCGTCAAGCTGAAACCAGTTTGGAAATCTTCTGCTTCACTCACTCAGCCAACAAATCAACTAACCAGCCAGCATGAAGGCCAATATTCGGATTCTATTCAACACTGGTGTGAAGTCAGTCAGTCAGTGAGTCAGTTGATTCTTCTATACCGTTGAGAAACTTGTACTGTGCGTGAGTCAGTCACGAAAAGCATCTCCATCAGGCTAGTGAAAACTTCTATCAACAGTCACCTTCTATTGCTGCATATTAAAGATTGAATGGCCAGAGAGAATTCGCAAGAAGAAACTCTGGAAATGAACAAACCAACCAGCAAAGAAGAGCCGATTGCTGAGCAAATAATTTAGGAGATAGAGATGGAGATGGGTTGGGCATCCACCACTGAGGGGGCAGTGGAATGACATTGCGGACAATGCATGTCATTGCTCTAGTGGAAGGTGAATAGGAAGCGACGAATGGTTGGTCAGTGGGGGGTTACATGGAGGAGATTGCGTGTCGGGGAAGAAGAGGAGGAGGAGATGAGAGATTATGAACGATATTCATGGACCCAGCCAGGTGAAGAGCACAGCGCTAAGTAGAAGAAAGTGGAGATGTGTTTTTGAAGCCGTATGTTCCACTCGGAACCCAGGGGAGTAATAATGATTAATGGTGATAAATCTGTAGTTGCTTCTGAAAATCAGTTTAACTGCATCCAGAGTAATTTTATCGTCAGAGCTATTCAAGAGTCTGCGTTCCTCGGTTCCTAGGTAGGTTTTCCATAAATAGATCGTCTTATTGATACATCAGGCCGTCGACTAAGCAATATATCTACGAAAGACGAACAGTTATCTTCTTCTTCTACAGACGTAAGTGATATTCTATTCTGAACTTCAGTGTGAAGCCGATATAACCATCTAAGCCCTTAGAAACTGAGAAAAATGATATCACATCAAACTGTATTTACCAATCTGAATGTGCGTGTGGTCACACACACATAGAAGGGAGAACTCATCGATCTCTGCAATTAAGGGCTGGCTGGTTTCAGAGCATATTCTTAAATGGCTTCAGAAGCAAATGGAATCCCCGGTACCCATCACTGGTGAGGACAGACGCCGACCTAGCTCCTCTATTGCGAAACGTATTAGTGAGGAGACAGAACGTAAAATTGATGTTTACAGACGTCTTTAAAACCTATCTATAGAGGGTGTTTGGAATATGGCGTATCCTAAAGTTTGTGGAAGCTGTAGTTGGCACTTAGGAAGTTTAAACTACCTTTATGCGATCAAAGCAACAATTCGTCATCACACTAACTAGACTACCTTCCTTGGTAAACTTTGTTTTGATGATACCAGCCTGGTTAGATGTACTATTACCTCTGTTATTTGGTTTAGCGACTGTCGTTGTTATTTTGACCTTCAGTATGTCCTTTTAACTTGACCTAATTTGTCTGTTTTTATTTCCCATCTCTTAACTCTTTAATAATTTTTTTTTTATATTCCCATGACATGTCCATATGTTATCAGATTGTTCGAAATGTGTTGCGCAAATACCCAATACACGATTCAGATAAATTACGTCTTCTTATTGCTTTGCTGAAATTCATAAAGGGAACTAACTGTTTATTCACTCATTGAGAAGTTTGAGTAGAACGCCTCCAACAAATATATACTCTAAGAAACTTCAGTGCATATTCTCCAACTAATACGCACAAATTATTTGCAGAAAATTCTGTTATCTATTGGTGTAAAGAGGGTACGGTATATTAACGGACTATTCAATTACATGTTTGGCAGATATGAGTTGTCGATGAACTCCAATGAGTTAAATGACTTCATAATTAGCTAACATCGGTTAGAGAACCATTGGAAAACCTAGGAGTACTGAGGAGCTGTTTCGCCACAGTTTTTGACTCTTCAGCAGTACACACCCGACGGCGTTCGAACCCATGACCTTCTGGTTAAAAGTAGTCGCACTATATTGTGAATTGTCAAGAGTTGGAATTTATGCAGTGACTGGCCATCGGATTGACTTGTTCCAGTAGCTTAGTGGTCTATGAGCTAGCTCGCCTTGTAACCAGAAGGTTCCCGGCTCGAACGCCGTCGGGTGCGCACTGCTAAAGAATCTTAAACTAGAACGAAACGGCTGTCCAGTACTCTGAGGTTTTCCAACAGTTCTCCAACTGATTTCAATGCATGATGAAATCCTCCAACCAATCGAAGCAAATCTCTACAAAACCAATACTTGACAACTCAAATTAGGCGCGTAGTATAATAGTCAGTGTCTTCTCCAAGAATCTTGATTAACTCAGTAATGGATTAAATCGGACAATGGAGAAATGGAAGGTCATTGTAAAATAATATGGAAGGTGATAAAATAAAGAAAAAAAGAAGCAGAACACAAATAAGATTTGCAAATTGTAGTTTGAACATAAGATTTTTCGTATTTCACGGTCACTATATATCCTTTTGCCAAATAAACAATCCTATAAACGCGTGCCACTGTATTGTACCATTGGATCGCTTTCCTGACAGTAAGTGCTAAACATACACAACTGAAATTAGTTGCTTGGGTCAGTGATTACACTATATTCGTTGCTCTCCTCAAGGGGATGTGAAACAAGGTTTCTTATACCATGGAGGTAGGCAAGCAATGGAAATATACAGCACTTTTATGATTTTCAAGTATTGGTTTGTAGAGAGTTGATTGATTAGTTAGAGAACCATTGGAAGACCACAACTGGAGTACTGGACATCTGTTCCATTCTAGTCTGGAACTATTCAACTGTACTCACTCACTGGGGTTCGAACACAGGACCTTTTAGTTACAAGGTGAACTTGTAGACTATTAAGCCACTGGGACCCTGTCCAATCTAATGGTCAGTCGCTGAATGAATTCCATTTTCTGCCAATTCACGATATAGCGCGACTGGCACTAGATGATGTCTGTGGCGAGTATTTGTACTCATGCCCGACCTGCTGTTCCCTACTGGTCACGACTTCCCACTAGAAATCACCCAGGTAACTACCTACCTAGATATTGCAAGTCGCTAGTAAGCATCTCATTGATATTCAAGTATTGCTTTGTGGTCACGCTATGTCATGAATTGGCAGAAGTTGGAATTCATGCACTGACTGGCAATTGGGTTGGCATGTTCCAGTGGCTGAATGGTCTACAAGCTAGCTCGCCTTGTAATCGGAAGGTCCTGGGTTAGAACCCCAACAGTGGGGCGTTTGAGTATTGATGAAAAGTCGCAAACGAGGCTGACGAAACAGCAGTCTATCGAGTACTCCAGTGGTAGTTTCCAAATGGTTCTCTAACTGATGTGTCAGCTCATGATGAAATCCTGTAATCAACTTTTATGACGGCATATATTCAAGCAACACTAATTCACCTAACATTGAACTTTACTTCAAACATAAAGACAAAAATTATTTCATATTTAAACTTGCCTGTACAATCAATTACAAAAACCCATTGTGTAATACCAGATTTCATACTTCGGACTGCATTTTCAATAGTATATATCAAATGAGTGACTGCATCATTCGATAAGTTACGATGTGATATGGCCTGACA